GACCTGGCTCAACGCCCCCTTAAACCGTTCTGAACTCTTAGCCCTATAACTACCTTGCGTCGTGCCAACTTCAATCGTTGGAGGTATTAAGAGAGCGTTATGGACCCCAAATGTATATATAGTTTGTCGCGTTTTGTACACAACTAATATGGTTTCATTTCATATCGTCGTATTTCTCACGAAACCACGATAAAGTTACATTTTTATACACTGTTCTCGAAAGGGAGTCTAGAACGAACTTATTATACAAACAAGAATATTTTTAATTTGTAAAAGTTTGGGTGGTAGTTTTTCTTTTAAGGGGATCGAGAAGCGCCTTGTCCCTTGCGGACTCAATAAAACTGATTCTGTGTGGATGACTGCTTCACATTTACGGTGTTCAGGTGTCGTAAACATGCCTTATTATCTGCTTTATGAGCGCTTCCGTGGCTCATTTCTTCCTCAGTTATTTCGGACACACCTATAAACTACAGTAGAACTTCTTTTATTTCAAATAAAATCCACTTAGGAAAACGATACTTCTTACACCGAAAGTACAGCTTTACTAAGATAGCGTTGTAACGATATAACATGACAACAAACCTGCGGAGCGCAAACGATTACGTTGAAACGTTCAATTAAAATTTACAATTAATGCCCTAGAACGCAATATATAGGTTTTATATAGGGGATAAAGTGTATAAAACTCATATGGTCCATTCGAGTTTATCCGAACTGTAAACAACTACAAATAGATAATAAATTTAGGTATAAAATAAGGAACGTTGACAGCATTTTTATTAACGCAGTACATTTAATCAATGACTTTCTTAGGCTATTTCTGTCTGGAAAGTCTTTTGCGCGACAAAATATGTCCTTCTATAGTAAAGAAGGTACATTTTGAAAAATCACCCTTTGCTTTGAGGTAGATAGATGATAATGTTTAATGGACGTGAGCATTAAATAACTAACGATTAAGGTAGCCTGGAATAAGGCCCGCGCCTAGTAATTTGTAAACCCCAACTTATTTATTAAAGGAGGTGGCATGGGCATCTTACCTATATAGCGCCGTTTGTCAACTGAACGTCCTTTCTTCTCTAGATCCCTGCGTCCACGAACCATACATGTACGTACATGATACGTTTATGTAAGGACGTCTTATGTACGAACATAGTTGGCCGTACTAATATACAATAACGGTTGTCTTATTTCCAATTAATCAGAAATAAGAAATCAAACAGTCTTGCTATTTAAGCAAAAACCACATCCTCCAATAAAATCAACAACGTTATTTCCGACAACACTAGAAATTCTATCTACCCCGTTAGAACTCATAACACACCTGCGTCTCTTATCTCGCACGTGACATTGTTTGCCGAAAAACCAATTAATTCTTGTCTAATAACATTTGTCAACACTTCAATAGCTTATCCTCAATAAAAGATAGTATTTATATTGTTACGTCGTTTTGAACGTTGTTTTAATTTACAGGCATTTATAGTAGGAGAGTTAGCTCTAAATCCATTGAACGAATTATTATTATTATTATTATAACAATAATAATAAATTAATTAAGGGAGTAAGTGGCGGAGTTCAGCATAACGCAGCTAGGACAACTAAAACAACTAAACAACTAAAAAACAGAAACTGTTGCATCTTTTAGTTTCTAACTTGGAACACTGGATGAAAAGCGCAACAGAAAAAGGCAAGGCAAGAAAAAAATAAATTTAAATTTTAGGAGATAGTAAACATGTTATGTATATTTTTTGCCTTTTTCTTCTAAAAAACGTGGTGCGGTTACATTCGCCTTTAGTCTACCATATACCTACACTGTACGTACATATTGGACGTAACTGGTACGTCTAAATTAATGCAAAACAGACAAATTATGTACCAAAAACGAACGTTAAATGGATGAAATGTATTATGTACGAATAATATGTTCACTGTTCAGGCGATGCCGTCCATGGCATGAACTTGTACTATACGGGTAATAATTATATGATGCGACAAACTCACATTTCATTAATAACGTCCCTCTGTAATCTAAGTAAACGGTCATAAGAAGTGGCATAGTGGTAATCAGTCTGGATGGTCTTACCTAAGTTGATAGGCGCCCGTGTCGTGACGATAGTTAATTCAGCATTATCTGTAACATGCAAAAAAAACACAATTTTTCCCTTAATTAAATACGCGTTGGTATTAATTCACTAGGACCGTACAGTAGGTGTACCTTCGTACATCATGGTCCTTCGAGCCGGATTTGAGTTTGAATTTGAAGCTTGGATATCAGATATCACATTCCGGTCCCGTAGATCGACGATATATCTACTGCATCTTCGTTTTCTGTAAGCATTTAACAGAAAAGTGAGTAGTCCTTTCTATACTATACTAAGTAATTCATATATTTTAAACGGCATGGTTTCATAACACGTTGTGTTACAGTATTTCTTGACAATTTAACCGTTATTTTTTGCCATTGATTGTAATAAAATTCTTTTAACGCACCAACAAAATGTACAAGGATGTTATTTATAATCAGCACACCACTTGTTAAAAATTTTCATTCATTGACCGACCCTTCTAGCTGAAAACCTGCCAATTTAATAATAGGGCGTAAAACACAAAAATGTTTACGTACGGTTGTGTTGAAGTCTACATGTCGAATCAAACACACTATAACCATTATCTACAGTGATATTCATGTAGAAGTAAACATAGGGATTTCTTATAGGAATTTCCTATGTCTACTTATAAATGACAAAAAGTCTTCTGAAGGACGCCTTATTTTAAAAGCAACCAAAATAACTTCCTACAACAAATGAAGATTTGCCTGTCATATTAATTAATTTGAATATTATCGCTTTGACTTCCGTATTCTAATTTTCGTTTGTGTGCGTTGTATTCAACTAAAGAAAAAGTTGACATTTCCAATTGGTATAGTGCCGGTAATAGTTAAAGGAGCGGATGTGGGGAGCAACTTTGTTAACAGGATCGAAAAACCGAAGCTTAAGCTTTGTATAATGGGTCTCACTTTCCATAGTTTATCTTTTTCTTCCTTATCTTTGTTCACGTCTGTAATATGCAAATTATTTCTTAGAGATTCAAACCTATTTCTGCTCATTCCCACATCACGAACTAAGTTGAATTGGGTTTGCGGTGCCCAGTAGAGTCTCAGCCTAGGATAATTGATAGTGCCCATAATGATATGAAGTGCAACAAGACGTCTTATTTCGTTTTCGTTTGTGTTTACACTTTTTCCGTTTTTGAAAACTGAATATATGTTTGTGTAATTGGACACTTGACTAAATATCTCTACGGGAAAATATCGAGAAAAGTACTGAAATGGGGATTCCACCTCCGTAGGTTCTTCAGGGTTGTCATCGGTTGCGGTAAATGACGTATCTGGAGGGACATACTTGCGCTTCGTCCATGTAACTGTATTTTTTTTCTTCTTGCTTTTGGAAGTAAATACTAGCTACACATTCATCAGCGGAAGAAACGGTAGAATCTTCCCGATCTTCATCATCTTGAATTTCGTCATATTCGCTATCACCTTGATCTGACATGTTGTGAGACCTATTAGTGTTCTCGTATTCTTCTTCATCACTAGAATTGCACTCAATTTCTGAATTGTCATCCGCCAACGCAGATATTGCCGTGTCTGCTTCTTCCAAAGAAATTTGAATTTCATTTCGACCATAAAATCGAATCGTCGGTATTGTATTCTCTGCAGAAAACAAAATAAACTTACTTTCTACTTTTGATGCCATGCACTCCTGATGGTGGCAATTGCGTACATTGATTTATAGAGCTCGTTATAAATTATCAGTATATATTACAACAAAAGAAAACCTACTTTACCCATTCCTTACTATTTATACAAAGTATAACATTAATTATAATAACGACAACAAGTGCAAGATTAGTAATATAAATAAATAAAGTACAACTTACCCACGGACATCTTTTTCTCCTTTGCACTATTACAGTTGACCTCATTCAAATTCGTAAATATTGAATTTCTGCCGGTAAAATGCGTACTACATGAAACTACATAACATTAGGTGTCTTCTTTATAATATGATCGCAACTCATTAGATGGCATGACGGTAAAAAATTTTAAAAATAGGTGGTGGCAAATGCCACCTCAAGGGCCGAAAGGGTTAAAATAAGAAAGTTGCTATCCACATCATATTCGGTAAAACCGGAAGTGAAATGATCATGACAATATTTTCCTTCGGTAGATCATAAAAAACTATGCATGCAACAGCCTGTATACAAACACAATAACATAAAATACAAAATTACTAAAAAGATATTCAAACCCGTTTCGTTACAGGATTTGAAGTGCTCTTCTTACCCAGCGCAACCCTTAGCGGGTAAATATCGAAAAGTAGGAAAGCGGCACACATATACGTCAATCATATACATCATCTAAATATTAAATAATAGAACAATATTCAAATCAAAACGGCGTTAACACTGACAAACAATTTTTGGCATAATCATTTTCTTTGTGCTTCGAGCACATTTTATTCAATTCTACCTTGAAAAATATTAAAATTTTACAAAACGAGACTATCAGTTTAATTTAACACTTTATTAAACAAACAATAAATTTTATATGAATACATGACCAAAATTCAAACTATCAATAGTTCCAAAGGTTTCCCACCTTGAATTTCGTTAGTGTCGGACTCTTAGGTACATTCCATTGCGTACAAATATCGGTTGAAGGTTGTTGGATCTGGATGAGCCAATGCATACGACTGTAATTTGGTGCCTTGATTTTTACTTTATTTTTACAAAGTGTTGGATTTTGGAATTGAAAAACGTTAAGAAAATTTTGGAGCGTTTCGAAAATGTCAAAAGTGGTTCCCATTTCAGACATCTTGCGGGCAAGTTATTGCGGTTGTGGCTACTAGCCGCTAGAATACATGAAATTCGCAAATAGGAAAACTAGTAATTTTTCGAAATTCTTTGACGGCCTTGTTGGGCAGGTTGGTTTTACGTATAACTGTCAAGATAATTACGAATTTCATTGGCTCATTTTCGGCCCAAATATTCTATAAGATATCTTTTTGCGGATTCTAGAAGGTATGTTTCTTGTTAAAAATTGGATCAACAATTCTCCCCGGTAAGAGTAAAACATGCACTCATTTGTTATTTGACCTTACACAAAACGTGTCAGTATTATCAAACCAAACTAAAATGTTACATATAAAAGAAGGTTACACAGCCCTTATACGAACATTAATTTCACAATAATTACGAAATGAGGTTGGTGTATTTAATGTTCGTGGTATTTACAGCATTATTTTACACGGTAAGTCTCATACCTGTACTAAGATATTTTATCATTAACTTACAGCTGAGTGTGTCATCTCACTGCCTTAGGAAACACCGGCATGGTTTAAAATCTTGCGAGTTAGACGACGTATACTGTGGTTCTTGGAGAAGAAAACGTGGATGGAAGGATTGGTTTAGGCCTAAGCGACATAATACATGTAGGCATCGTGGGTTTTGGAAAAAGGAACCATACAGATTTTGGGGTAAAAGAATTCATGGGCATGGAGCATGTGATTGCAGAGGGCATAAGCGCTGTTTTTGTTGATAAGTGAAAGACTGAAATGTTATTTGCTGTGTATTTGAGGATTAAAAGTTCTGTCTAAACGTTACTACTAATATCTACGTTTTCCTTTAGAATCAACCACATTTGTATTATAAAATTGGCATGCATTATAATGTAAAGGATTACGTTAACAGTTGCATTAATTGCATTCAAATGCATTTCAACCGAATTGTAGTGAGATTATAATTAGTTTTGGTAATTTAGTTCTATGTATGTATATATATATATATATATATATATATATATATATATATAATATAGTCGACCAACGCACTTTACGACATCCGGCAAAAATTTTGACGATATGACATCCACCCTTTCCGATACAGTTATCAGTTTGCGGCCATGAGAGTATATTTTTTGAATTGCAATATGAGGCTATTGCGCCCTTAAAAAATAAACCATACACATTTTTAAAAAAATTCTCTCCCTATCTCTTTGCACTCCAGTGTATACTGTATATAAATTTTTATTCCGTGTATCTTGTGAGATCATTAAAAATTTTACATACCTTATAACATCCTTGCAACGTTGCCATGATTACTGGCTAGTAAATACGGATGGTAGGTTCAAACCAAAGGTAAATGTGTCAAGGGCGTTAAAAGTGTTATCGCACGGTTTACTATGGAAGACAGAGATCAAATAGCAATGTTTTATAGTAAAATAGATTATAGGTACTTTTTCTATGCTTTGTTTTTAACAAAACGGCCGGTTTCATAAACAATGACATAGAGTAAAATTTACTCTATGCCAATGATTAAAAATATTGAAATGTTAGCCACCCCTCGATTATAAGTCTAGGTGTTGGTGATTATATATGTCTGTCTAATCATAGTTTATGAAGTCGGATATTAATCTATTAACTTTTCATCGTTTGCCTTTGCTCCCATAGGGTACGCAGTAATTAATGTCGAAATTTTTAGGAATTTCATCTAACATGCTAGTTTCACACTAAACTAATAGTAACAGCTAACTTATGGTTGCGGAGTGGTACAAAGATCTAAAAATGGATGCTTGTACCAGTATTTAGAACAAATAAATGAGGGACAAACAACCAAAAATATGCAAAAGACCAAATTTCGTTTAAATTTAATCGGGTGCAACCTTTTGAATTAAATAATGGTACAGAATAGGATTTTGTGAATTTTATCGGGGGTCGCTTCATAGTTGCAAGTGACAAAAAATCGAATAGCGAATGTTTAGTTTAATATAATTCCTATCGAAATGGTACAAATAATATTAGAAAAGTCAGGGTACAATTGAGTTTGTCTGTACCACTATTTAGAAGGAACAAATAGGAGGGGGTCAATAACCAGAAATATTAAAAAACGACATTTCGTTTAAGGTTAATCGGATGCAACCTTTTAAGTTAAATAAAGGTGCAAAATAGATTTTTGTGAATTTTAATTTTAACGGGGGTCTCTTCCTAGTTGCAAGTGATACAAAAACCTAATAGTGGATGTTTACTGGAAAAATTCCTTTTAAAATGGTACAAGTAATATTAGAAAAGTCAGGGTTCAAATAATTTGTCTATACCAGTATTTAGAACCAATCAGAGGGGGTGAATAACCAGAAATATTCAAAAACGAAATTTCGTTTAAGGTTAATCGGATGCAACCTTTTAAGTTAAATAAAGGTGCAAAATAGATTTTTGTGAATTTTAATTTTAACGGGAGTCTTCCTAGTTGCAGAGTAATACAAAAACCTAATAGTGGATGTTTACTGGAAAAATTCCTTTTAAAACGGTACAAGTAATATTAGAAAAGTCAGGGTTCAAATAATCTTGTCTATACCAGTATTTAGAACCAATCAGAGGGGGTGAATAACCAGAATATTCAAAAACGAAATTTCGTTTAAAGTTAATCGGATGCAACCTTTTAAGTTAAATAAAGGTGCAAAATGGGTTTTTATGAATTTTAATTTTATTGGGGGTCCCGTCATAGCTGCAGTGTGATACAAAAACCTAGTAGTGGAAGTTTATTTTAAAAATTCCTTTTAAAATGGTACAAATTATATTAGAAAAGTTCGGGTTCAATTGAATTTGTCTGTACCAGTATTTAGAACAAATAGGAGGGGGTCAATAACCAGAAATATTCAAAAACGAAATTTCGTTTAAGGTTAATCGGATGCAACCTTTTAAGTTAAATAAAGGTGCAAAATAGATTTTTGTGAATTTTAATTTTAACGGGAGTCTTCCTAGTTGCAGAGTAATACAAAAACCTAATAGTGGATGTTTACTGGAAAAATTCCTTTTAAAACGGTACAAGTAATATTAGAAAAGTCAGGGTTCAAATAATCTTGTCTATACCAGTATTTAGAACCAATCAGAGGGGGTGAATAACCAGAAATATTCAAAAACGAAATTTCGTTTAAGGTTAATCGGATGCAACCTTTTAAGTTAAATAAAGGTGCAAAATAGATTTTTGTGAATTTTAATTTTAACGGGAGTCTTCCTAGTTGCAGAGTGATACAAAAACCTAGTAGTGGAAGTTTATTTTAAAAATTCCTTTTAAAATGGTACAAATTATATTAGAAAAGTTCGGGTTCAATTGATTTGTCTGTACCAGTATTTAGAACAAATAGGGGGGGGTCAATAACCAGAAATATTCAAAAACGAAATTTTGTTTAAGGTTAATCGGATGCAACCTTTTAAGTTAAATAAAGGTGCAAAATAGATTTTTGTGAATTTTAATTTTAACGGGGTCTCTTCCTAGTTGCTAAGTGATACAAAAACCTAATAGTGGATGTTTACTGGAAAAATTCCTTTTAAAATGGTACAAGTAATATTAGAAAAGTCAGGGTTCAAATAATTTTGTCTATACCAGTATTTAGAACCAATCAGAGGGGGTCAATAACCAGAAATATTCAAAAACGAAATTTCGTTTAAGGTTAATCGGATGCAACCTTTTAAGTTAAATAAAGGTGCAAAATAGATTTTTGTGAATTTTAATTTTAACGGGGTCTTCCTAGTTGCAGAGTGATACAAAAACCTAGTAGTGGAAGTTTATTTTAAAAATTCCTTTTAAAATGGTACAAATTATATTAGAAAAGTTCGGGTTCAATTGATTTGTCTGTACCAGTATTTAGAACAAATAGGGGGGGGTCAATAACCAGAAATATTCAAAAACGAAATTTTGTTTAAGGTTAATCGGATGCAACCTTTTAAGTTAAATAAAGGTGCAAAATAGATTTTTGTGAATTTTAATTTTAACGGGGTCTCTTCCTAGTTGCAGAGTGATACAAAAACCTAATAGTGGATGTTTACTGGAAAAATTCCTTTTAAAATGGTACAAGTAATATTAGAAAAGTCAGGGTTCAAATAATTTTGTCTGTAGCATTATTTAGAACAAATAAGTGGTTCAATAACCAGAAATATTCAAAAACGAAATTTCGTGTATGGTTAATACGATGCAACATTTTGGCTAAAAATGGTGCAAATAGGTTTCAATTTTAATTATTTTTAATTTTTAATTCAAAGGAGATTTTCAAAATATAGTACTAATTCTATTGAGATGGCTACAATTCAATTTATTGACTCTCTCTTTATCTCTGAATCAATATATATATATATATATATAACAAATAGGGGATCGCCTGAATATCAACAACGTATAACATTCAAAAGTGAAATTTGGATTAGAACAGCGAGTGGAACCTAACTTAATTTCTTCCCATTTAGAAATATTAATTGACTATAAAATAGATGATGTTAAAGAGTTCGCAGAGTATAAACTTTTAATTATACACCAAACGTTAATGTAATTCTTCTTCCGTTTATTTTGCTAAATAGGTGCAAAAGCAGATATCGTGGAGTTTATTTATAGAAAGCGCGATTGCCAAATTTCGGATGTAGTTAGGGGCTATGAGTAGAATCGTACATTTTTTCAATTATACGCTGGATGTCATTCAGTCGCAGTTATGACATTGCGTTTGTATATTCAATATACACACCAAAGCTCCTGCGCGCGCTCTTCACAGCAAAGCGCGGAACTAAAATATACTTATTAATTTTACAACCATATCTTTTCGACATCTTCCTGAAATTGCTTCCCCCTCACCCTTAGGGGCTCTAGAGTGAAATAACACGGGAAAACGTTTCGACATCCGAAATCGGATGTCGAAACGTCAACGGATGTCAAAGAGATAGGGAAATTTATACGTTTGGATGTCGAAAGGTGCGGTGGATATGTCTATGCATGTATATTCATCAGACATGCTGTGTATATTGGTATACTGACAACTGGATATATTTACCATGAATATTCCTGCAATATGCAAAGATGTTCAATAGGATATTCTATGTATGTTGTATACATTCAAAATGGATGTTCTACAGAGATTCCTCTAACATTCGGGAAGTTTACTAGCATCTATACGTACATAAATAAATTCTTTTCACGGAGTGGAGCTTTTTGTTTATTAAGTCTCCTAGTATACAATGGAAAATGTGCTTAAGAAATTATTATTGTTTTATTTAACACTGTAGTCTTGAGTCATCTTGATCGTGTTCTTGTTCAACACTATAATAGCGCGAGTTCATAACAAATAGGTTGCTAACATACCTGCCATCCTTGTCCTTATATTAATTCCCATCCAGTCTTTACATCTCATTAACACATATTTGCAACGTTAGGTCATGCACACACGAAATAAAAATCATTACTTTCACTGTCCAAATTAGACAAACAGACTCATTAATAACTCGCGGAATAACAGTCCTGATTTTAGAAAAATGAACTATATTTGCAATAGCACCTTACTATCTTCATCGCCGTAATTCACAGAAAATGAGACGCTAACGTTTGTAACGTCGGTAATACAGAAAACGCATGTATCTAATCCAAAACGTATATACATAACATATAATCCCATGTATATACATAAAAGGTCCTCGTGAGGAGGTATAAGATTTATACATAAAAGGACATACAATGTGTGTGCCTAAACATCCATAGCACATCCAAAATGTACATTTATAGAATATCCATACTGGACATAAAATAGCTGATATGTCTATAATGAATATACATACATAGTGTAACGGAA